GTGGGTGTGGGATGTGGGGACCATAGGCAGGAGGCCCTCAGAGCCTCCTTTTGCCTCCTCCCTCCCTGAGCAGCAGGTAACCCTGGGCCCCTGACCTAGACTCTACCTGTCTGGCTTCTTTATGGATTGCAGGGACTTCTGCTATGCCTCCGATCTGGGGTCTGAGTACTGTGTAAGAATTTAATAGGCCTCATCCCGATGATCCTGACATTTCCCACAGAGCTCTCTGCACCTGCTCTCAGCACTGAGCAGCACCCCCTCTCCAATAGCTGCCCTGTGAGTCGAGATCCTGCTGGGCAGGTGAAAGTCGGTGCACGACTCTATGCAGAGAATTCCTTTAGTAATAGTATGAGGAATGGGAAATTCATGTGCTCAGAATCTTGGAGAAACACAAGGGGTTGAATTATTTTGTTTTGTAGGTAATTAACCCACAGCCAGAGAGGAGAAATGACTGGCTCCAGTCACCCAAGTGGTAAATACAACCTTCCTGCTACCCTGTGACCCTGAGGGAAGGGGTGGGTACATGGCAGATACAGTCCATGGCGCTGTTGTTTGTGTGCTCCTGCCCTTTCTGTGTCATGTATTACGCACTTCACCCAGTCACTAGCCTTGCAAGGTCCCTTCTCTGCCTGCTGGTGCGGAACTTGCTCTTCCCATCTGTGTGCATGTCGGTGACAGCATACCCATGCACAGACAGCTGGTGCTTCCCCCTCTTCTCCATGGGCTGGTGGGAGAGTAGGTCCTGGTCAGGCTTCTCCAGCTGGGACTTAGGACCAAAGAACACTGCAGACAATGTGGGTTTTCATAGGTCCGTATGTCCAGCCAACTTTGGCTGTGACCAAGAAATGCACTGCCATTGTAAGCCCCTGACAACTGAAGGCTGCTACTGCGGTAACCAAGCTGAGGTAGGGGTCTGGGGATGTATGTTGAATCAATGCGGTAAGTTCTGTGTCCCTTTGGTGCCTTCTAAGGACCAGGTAGGCATGTGCATATGGGACCATTGCTTGCATAAGATGGTCCTGTGTTTATTGAGGCTGTCTTAGGGGGACTAGGACCATGACAAGAGTGAGATGGGCAGCGTTCCTGAGATGATGGCCCGAGGAATAGGCAGGACTGGCGAGTAGGACCTTCTTGTAGAGCTGTGCCCAGCAGTGGCCTTGGTAGTGGGGAAGGACACAAGCTCCCACTGCAGCCACCTCAGCAGCAAAGCAGGCTGAGAGGAGGACACAGGAGCCCAGCAGCTGTGGCAACAGTGCCCCAGGTGGACACAAGGTTCAGGTCTCTGCCTGTTGTTTAGAATCAGAGGGTGCAATACCTTGGGACTAGGGCTGGAGTGTGGTGAGCTTTGTCCTGGGAAAGGCACACAGGGAGTTTGGGGTGTTCTCACTCCCCAAAGCTTTCTTTCATTTTCCCTGCCTGGATTCTAGGCTAAGCTGGGGGTGAAGTGCGGTCACCCACGGGAGTTTTGTGGGTGCTGGGATGGCAGCAGGCAGACAAGGAGGAGGCAGGGCGGTGCAGCCTCCTGCTCAGGGTTGTCTGGCCGCTGGGCCCTCCAGCTTCTCCTCGCCACAGCTTTGTTTTGTCTGGCTCCCTCGCCGGCCTGGAATTCCTGGGGGCTGCACTGCTCCCAGACGGCTGTGGTTTCTGGTACATACATGGGGCGATTCCCTGCCCTGGCCCCTGCTTCCACAGAGCAGCACCTGGTGAGACTCTTGGGAGGCCAGGGAGAGGCGCACAAGGCTTGCTGCAGCTCTGTGGTGGCCTCTGATGGCAGCAGAGAAAAATGCCCACAAATTCCCCTGTGATTAGGTAAAGGCTGGTCTCAACGCCTGCCCGAGTGCAGCCAGGTGCTTATGCACAGAGAAGCGGGAGTTGGGTCAGTTTTAAACATGTCTCCGCACTCTCTGGACACTGCCTCTTGTCGCTCTTGGAGAAGAGGTCAAGGAGGCCCTTAGGTCCCATCACCAGAGAGCTACCTCCTGGTGGCTGCAGTCCAAAAATGTGCACAGCTGCAAATTAGTGAAAGGCCCTGAGAAGAGAGGGGTATAGAGAGGTCTCTGTGAGCCCAGTGAGGCTGGGAATTGCAGAGGTTTTATACCATGGGGTGTTGGTGTAGAATCACCCACACATTCAAACTTCAGGATCCATCCTGAGGCAGCTGGAAGCTTTGTACTCAGCTATCGCCAGGCACAGGGGCCTGGGCAAAGCAGAGCAGGGCATGGCTGGCAGACTGAGCTGTGCCCTTGAGGAGTTTCCTTTTTTTTTTTTTTTTTTGAGGAGCTTCCTGCAAACAGTGGGGACACAGGCACACACACAGTTCCTGGAGAGGGCACGAACTCCAGGGGCTGCACAGGGGGATGGGGCTGTGCGGGACACAGCTGATGGAGAGCAGCATAAGCAGAGGTCCAGGATGGAGTGAGGGAGGGGACAGGAGCACAGT